GATCAAAGTTTTTTCCTTTTCTCCTGAATAAAAATTCCTACTCTACTAACATAGTATTTTGCATTTTTTATCTTAAATATTAGGCAGTTGAAATTGCATTCCTGTAATTATAATTATAACTAATAGACCTTCCATTTCCCATGTCATAATTAATGTCAGGCTTTATTAGAGCACAATCATGCTACCTTTTCCCTTACGAGGCTTCTTTTATTTTCACAACATTTATGGTGTATAGAATTAAGCAATAAAGAGTTCTAAAGGCCTTTCATAAGAATAGCCTTTGGATTGTAGATGCTGAGATCGTAATTGACTTAGAAAATGCTTTTTACGCAGTGGCTCATGCCTGTAATCCCTGCACTTTGGGAGGCTTAGGCTGGCAGATCACTTGAGGTCAGGCGTTTGAGACCAGCCTAGCTAACATGGTGAATCCCCGTCTCTAATTAAAAACATAGAAAAATCAGCTATGTATGGTGACACATGCCTGTAGTCCCAGCTACTTGGGAGGCTGAGGCAGGAGAACTGCTTGAACCTGGCAGGCGGAGGTTGCAGTGAGCTGAAATCACACCACTGCACTTCAGCCTGGGTGACAGAATGAAACTCCGTCTCAAAATACAAATACAAATACAAAAGAAAATGCTTTCTACATTGTTTTTAAACCACATATAAATCTATGTGCTTCCTAATGTGCTATTTGCTCAACACCAATAAGTGAAAAAAGAAATCAGTGATTCAGTGATAAATACATGAGATTTCCTCAAAGGTTATTAAGTGTACTTTCAGCAGGGATGAAAAAACTAACAACAAGCAAACAAAATATCTACAGATCATACTTCTTGATTGCAATGCATGACATATACAGATGTGTCAACTTAACTGCAGCAATTTCATGGCCAGCAAAATACATTTTGATACCCACAGATTAAGTTTTCATAGGCCCTGGTTATGGGGTTACTATATTTATTTTAAATCCTATCAGAAGGATATAATTTTACCATTTACCTATTCAAGCAAAACACAACTGTATCCTACTGGCAATATTGAAATTAGAACTCAAAGGTGGTATACAACTTTGGTAATTTTAAATATAGTTTAAAGGGGAGAATACAATATAAAATTAACAGCTTTTTAGGTAAGTATTTTATAAGTAATCTCCAAGACATGGCATACTTACAAAAGAGATGCCATACATACCTTCAAAAACCGATGCTGGACTATGTTTTGATGATTATGTATGACTCAGTCTGTGCTTTTGAGGGTCAAAGAGTGACTGGCTCTGAAGTCCGTATTATGTACGAATGTAATTCTTACAGCACAAGATTCTATATTTCGCCCTTATTAGAATCGTAAAATCTCTTTTCCATTAGGTTCACATCTTCTTAAGAAAAGTTATACATTCTCAATACCACACTACATATAACTGTATATACAATATAAATATGAGGAGAAGATATACATGGAGCAATCACAGAATCAAGAAAAGAGTTTCAGGCCAGGCGAGGTGGGTCACACCTGTAATCCCAGCACTTTGGGAGGCCAAGGCGGGCGGATCACGAAGTCAAGAGATTGAGACCAGCCTGACCAACCTGCAGAAACCCCGTCTCTACTGAAAATACAAAATTAGCTGGGCATGGTGGAGCATGCCTGTAATCCCAGCTACTTCAGAGGCTGAGGCAGGAGAATCACTTGAACCCAGGAGGCTGAGGTTGTGGTGAGCCAAGATCACGCCACTGCACTCCAGCCTGGCAATAGAGCGAGACTCTGTCTCAAATAAAAAAAAAAGAGAAGAGTTTCAATGTTGCTCTTTTTGGTATTATACATATAAAAACATTTCTAGGCAGGGCATGGTGGCTCACACCAGTAATCCCAGCACTTTGTGAGGCCAAGGCGGCCGGATCACCTGAGGTCAGGAGTTCGAGACCAGCTTGGCCAACATGGTGAAATCCCGTCTCTACTAAAAATACAAAAATCAGAGGGGCGTGGTGGTGGGTGCCTGTAATCCCAGTTACTTGGAAGGCTGAGGCAGGAGAATCGCTTGGATCCGGGAGACAGAGGTTGCAGTGAGCTGAGAATGAACCTCTCTGCACTCCAGTCTGGGTGACAGAGCGAGACTGCACCTCAAAAAAAAAAAAATTTCTAGAGCACAAAAAGAAACATTTTAAGTGGTATGCTATACGTGTTCTTTGGAATGATTATTTGAGATAATTTATATGATTTCCACGTAAAGTTTCTTGAAATCATGATTAATTTTAAAAACTACAACAAATTAAAATGTGGTTTGGGGAATAAGGATAATATGAATTAACAGTATTTGAAATTTACAGAGAGAAATGTATACTATTTACAATAAAGCCCACTGTATTGCAGGGTTCTTCATTATAGACACCAATGGACAGATACAAAAGATTCTAAACTGAAACCACAAGGGGAATTTCAAGATACTCCCCAAATTACAGTCCCTGGGGCAAAAATTCAAATAAAGACCCTTATATAATCTGCTAAAATTTCTTAAATTATAAATCAGTCAAGCAAAGTGATAAATAAGATGTCTCCTCCTCTTTGCAACTATATACCATAACAACCTCGCAGCTATGTCAAATTTAGTAGTTGAGGAAATCTCTAAAATGATCCGGGAAGAGTATGGTATGAAGAGAGCCAGTACCCAGTCTTCAGATCCTGGCACACCCTAAATTTTGTGTCTCTTCCTATCCTTGAGCTCAATATTGGGCCACACTGTAAGAGTCTCACATATCAAGATTCATCCTCATGCCCTCACAAACAGCTGCCCTTCACCCTTGAATCTAGGGCTATATATAGGAGCAATGTGCTCTGCTTTTCAGAAAACAGGGCCTGGGATGAACTTACTCAGGCCCTGGAAGTAGACTTAAGGCCACTTGGGCAGAGAATTCATAGGTCTTGGGGAGCCCGCATGCTTTCTAGAAGTTGAGGCATGCCTCAAGAGGGCCAATTCCCCTCGTCCTTTGAACTTACTGGCCAGTGTAGAAGGATGACTAGAAGCAGACTTCTAAGTCATAGGGTTCTCTGTTGAAGAGCCTTAAGGACAGTTCATTATCAAGTAGGTAATCTTATATGCAAACTGGTAACTCAAGACCTGGAGATAGTTTTCTTTACTCAGGTAGACTAATGATACAAAAATTGAGCAGAGGGGGCCGGGTGCAGTGGCTCACACTTGTAATCCCAGCACTTTGGGAGGCCGAAGTGGGCGGATCACGAGGTTAGGAGATGGAGACTATCTTGGCTAACGCGGTGAAACCCCGTCTCTACTAAAAATACAAAAAATTAGCCGGGCGCCTTGGCACGTGCCTGTAGTCCCAGCTATTCGGGAGGCTGAGGAAGGAGAATGCCGTGAACCCAGCAGGAGCTTGCAGTGAGCCGAGATAGCACCACAGCACTCCAGCCTGGACAACAGAGCGAGACTCCATCTCAAAAAAAAAAAAAAAGAAAGAAAGAAAGAAAGAAAAAGAAAAAGAAAAACTCAGCAGAGGAAGCAACAGTCGCTTCCTAAAGAATGCCCAAACTTTATATCCAGACAAAAGGAAATGATATGTCCACATCCACAACCATCTATTGACCACAGATACAATAATGTTAACAATATTTTACAGGTACATGGTAACCTTATAAACATTAGCTTGTATTTCATAGATTATTTTTCAAAATACCTGAGATGTGTTAAAAACAGATGTCCTGATTTGGCAGATTATAGAAGGAAAAACTCAGCAGAGTTAAGTAATTCTTCTAAAGTCTCAAGGTTCAAATATTGGTAAAGTTGGTGGTACTATTGTGTTTTTTTTTTTTTTTTTGAGACAGAGTCTCGCTCTGTCGCCCAGGCTGGAGTGCAGTGGCGTGATCTCAGCTCACTGCAAGCTCCGCATCCCGGGTTCAAGCGACTCTCCTGCCTCAGCCTCCTGAGTAGCTGGGACTACAGGCGCCCGCCACCACGCCCAGCTAATTTTTTTGTATTTTTAGTAGAGCCGGGGCTTCACCATGTTAGCGAGGAAGGTCTCAATCTCCTGACCTTGTGATCCGCCCACCTCGGCCTCCCAAAGTGCTGGGATTATAGGCATGAGCCACTGTGTACGGCTTGGAAAAGATTTTAAACCCTCCCTCCTTTCAGGAAACCCCTCTCCCCTACTTGACGTGCAGCTTTGTACTACTTTCTAGCTCACAGAGACAAAGCTAAACTCTACGAATAATCTGTGTTATTCCCCTCTTAATATGTGAGAATTCTTACTTAAGAACACTCAGAATCTTTGCCACCAATAATTTTTTTTTTTTTTTTTGAGATAGAGTCTCAGTATGTCACCCAGTTTGGAGTGCAGTGGTGCAACCTTGGCTCTCTGCCACCTCCATCTCCCGGGTTCAAGCGATTCTCCTGCCTCAGCCTCCAGAGTAGCTGGGACTACAGACACCTGCCACCACGTCTGGCTATTTTTTTGTATTTTTAGTAGAGACGGTGTTTCACTGTGTTAGCCAGGATGATCTCGATCTCCTGACCTCATGATCCGCCGGTCTCAGCCTCCCAAAGTGCTAGGATTACAGGCGTGACATGCCACACCAGGACCTCAGTAATTTTTTAAAAAATGTTATAAGCAATATGTGACCTAGTTCAGAAGAATATTACTTTCTGTAAACAATGTTATTAAGTAGCACTGTAGTAGCAAAATAAGAGGAAAAAAAGTGCAGAATTAAGAAAAAACATTGCAATGTCCCTCTCAAGCTGAGACTGTGCATGATTCTGTGAAGTGTATTTTTCTTTGAACTGGTTTTGTTTCCAGACACTATTTCAACATCACCTCATGTCAAAATGACTTGATAGTCTAAATCTTTACATGTAGATGAAGTTTCAATGAAGGGACAATATCTGAAAGATCTCATTAAAAAATGGTCTGGAGCTACCCAGTCTGATACCAACACTAACCAATGTGCCAGGGGAGGTGAAAAGGTGCCTTGAATGTAATTTGAGTAGAGCAGGGGCCTACCTGAGTCATATGCAAAATCTCTGGGTTCCTGTTTAATCATCAGAGGAGGGGGAAAGCTTTGGCTGGCCGCACTGCCAACCATGGTGTTGTGTTCATACACTGGGTCGTGGTACTCCTGCTTAAAGCCTTGTGGTGGGAAGGGGATGTTTGGCTCAGACATCTGGCGTTGGTACATAGGACGTCCTTCCCTTGGCATTGTCGGCAAAGGAGGAAAGGAGTTACAGGGTTCAGAAAGCTGGCGGCGAAATCTAGGGAATAAGAGAGTGTGTTTCAGATGAAATGGTAACATGGAACATTCTTTAAAATACTGATACAGTTTTTCATTTCTTAGTGAATGAACATGATACCAGCTGACCTGAAGTGTAAATCTTTAACAAGCATTACATTTTTCTTTCCTGGATTAGTAGCTCTATGTTTTTTAATCATATGACTTATATTCCCCTTCTAATCAGTCTCTTGCAGCACTGTTGCAGTATATGAATTAAAGATGTACTTTGAGTAAAGATTGGAGAGCAATGAACAACTTTGAGGATTTTACACACACACACACACACACACACACACACACACACACACCCATTAATGGCTAAAACGACCAGTTCTAAATCAATTGGATCACTGATAATTTCCACACAAAGGGGTCTGAAATGATTATATACAAGAAAAAAAAAGGTGAGGGAGGAATAGAGTCTGATCTCAAACTACATCCTCTGTCTTTTAATTCTATTACCAAACTGATCAAAAAACAAAAAACCAACCAAACAAAAATCTACCTATTGGTTTTCCTTCCATTACTATCTATTGCTGAGGAAGCAAGAGAGGAATGACTCTTCTTAAATCAGCAGGAGTTTCAATTCCTCAACAATGTCCTAGTTAACATTGTCTTTTAGCAATAAACAAAACTGTTTATTATAAGGACTCAAGCCCAAGCTGGTTTTAAAAAGACTACCTCTTTACTGTCAAACAGCAATGCAGACCATATTGGCTTCCAATAGATTCAAATACATTATCAGGGTGATAAAAATAACCGTAAATACACAGCTGATCTCCAAAGGTGAAAATAACATATAGTGTTGTATAGATTTGGGGCAAGTCCCGCTGTTAGGATATGAGGAAGTTCTGAGACCTCGGCAGAAGGCTAGAAATGAGTCCTATGCCTCTTTGTTCTTGGTTATACTTTATAACGATTGGCTAATCACATAATCGTACTGTTCTGTGTTTCTCATCCATAATATCATTGACCCACCACAAAGATGTGGATTAATTAAAGATTTAAAAGTGCTCTAAAAATGCCCCAGGAGTGCTTAAAAATAACCTATAAAACATTTCTATGAGCAAATATAAGCCTATTAACCCCCCTACTAAAAGCATTCCTGAGACTTTAATTTGGAAAGTTAGCATTTAATTTCGGTAATGTTAAATGAAAATAAGGTAAAAGCTAAAGAATGGCAAAGCAATTGCTTTAGCATTTCTAAGAACACTCCATCCTGTGATTTAACTCTAGGCTCACTGGCGGTCATGGAAAGCACTGAAATTCCACCTACACCTGCAGAAAATAAACTTAGAAACTCGGATATTGCAGAGCAGTTAGGCTGACTGGCACTGCATTCATTTCCCTTCTCTTGCTTATTTCATTAGCCAAAAAAAGAAACAGAAATTATCATTAAGAACTGTCAAGGAGTGAATCAGAAAATTGTAACTTGAAGTTAAAATAAGAAACTGGCTTACTTGTGAAGCCTTAAAAGGAAGTTAATAATACTTGTAACTGAAAGCTTTGTAAGGAATCAAGCCATTTGTTTTTACGAGTCGACCTGATTCCAGTTGGAAGTTGCTGGGGAACATGTATATATCAAACTCGCATGCTTCCCAGAAGTTGCAAGGTTTCGGTGCAATTCTTAAGAGCCGCTGACCAATGGTAAAGAGAAAGTGATTCAAGAAGCTTCTGGAAAGGAGTTAACAGATACAGAGAACATGCTGATGAACTCCCGGATAAAGAAAAACAGGGTGTAAGTGGTGGAAACACTGAGAAAGAGAGACAGGGCTCCTGCACAGTGGGTTCAGGAAAAAGTGCCAAAGGGCTGGCCCGAGGAGCAGAGTGAGGCTGAGGAAAGGAAGCAGGGTGCAGGCCAGTTGGCCATAAAGCGTTCCCAGAGTGAAGTGGGGTGCCTGGCTGGAGGGGGTGTTCTGGGGAAAGGATCTGTTCCCAGAGCAAATTTGCCATTTATAACTGAGGGACTGTCATTTGTTGGCCAGAGCCCTCTAAGAAATCCTCCTCAGAAACATACGGCTTTAGAGATTTTCCCGGGACTGGCCAGCTGGTACTGTCCTCAAAACTCAGTCAGGGGTCAGTGGGAAAAGACCCCGAGCTTCCCTCTTGGAGTTCCGGGCCGGCTGTTCTCAGTCTCAAATATTTGACTTCAAGTAGAGAAACTAAAATGGATTTGGCTAAAGCATTTCAAGTTAGGTCACCTAAAACCAGGCACACTGCTTATTCAGCAGTCACCTTCCCTAAGAAATAACCAGTTTGCACAAAAAGTGAATTATACAATCTATAATTCTGGCACTGATCAGAAGAGTGAGATTCAGTTATCGAGAACTCCGAGAAGCCACCAGTAGTGGAGGAAATAAAACTTTGTTTGTTCATACTTTTGTTCCCTTTTAGCTGTGCACAATGTGCGTCTGTTTAATGGCCCACCCTGCAATAAGAATTCTTTCATCTGTATTTACAAAACTGTTTACACAGATGCACATACCATTGCACTCTGACAAAGTCTCAAGTCTACGGGGTGAGAAGAAAAAGATAATAGGAAGCATTTAATAACTACCCCACAAGAGGACCTAGTGATGGATACAAGGGTGGAAAAGATAAGGCTTTGTATCACATTGTAAAGAATGCTTTCATCTTATGCCCTTTATAGCAAAATGAGTTTCTGAATTTGAGATTGAGTCCCATGAAAAAAACCTATAAAAAGCAGACTTGAGTGCTCCCTTATTTTCAGAAAGTTGCCAGTGGCATATCTTCTGCTTTCCTCTGCTGATCTAGAAGATTCCTTTGGCTGAGTTATTTTTACAATGGTGTCTCAGAGCCAGTTTGCACTGACTTATTGTTAAATTTGCAGGCATTTTTTGAGCCAGTTCTTAAACATAGCCACTATTAGGAGTTAAATTATACAACTTCACAGTCAAAAAAATGTTAAAAACAAAAGATAAAAATGCAATACTCATTACTTTCTAATTATTTTACTACATTTCATTACCAGTTATACACCTGAGGTTACTTATGTCTCCCGTATCCGTATGCTAGAAATACTACATTATGCTGTGCTATTGCATCTTTGCAAGTCGGCATTCAGGGTTGTCACAGTGATGGCTCATCGTGGGCCATGAAAGCAATATGTACATCACAGACCCAGCAAAAGCTATTGATGAGGCCTTTTTGTTTTTCTCCCATGCAGGTTAAACATTTACCAGTAAATGGTAAATGTTGCTAAACATTTACCAGCACACCACTGCATACAGCAGCACAAGGCAGAAGTGATAAAGAAGGAGAGCTGCTGTATATGAGCAACCTGGATTTTAAGCTGTATATTAAGGTAGTACATCTCAGAACCTCTACAGGTTTTATTTCATATTTTATTTAAATATGAATTTCTTAATCTCAAGGAGTCACGAATTACCTAACACAGTATTCTCCTTAGATCTATGCTATGTTTCCTGTCTTGCTCCTTTCTAAGTAATACTAATTGAGTCTCTGTCTCTTTAATTGTATATTCTCAGTGTCCAGAGTCATGTGTCTACTGATATTAAATATTCGTCACTTGGAAAGGATGGTAAACAGTTTTAATCAAATAAGTTCTATTCTGCAAAACTATGTACAGCTGAACCATTCAATATAAGGTAAAAAACCTAATTCCATAAGCTACCTACTAAAATTAGTCTCCTAACTTTACAGAAGAAGTACACACATATGCTCATAAAAGTGGGATGATCTGATTTAAAGTTTAAGTGAAGCAATTTAATTCAAGCAAAGCGAAAGGGAAATGCTCAAATGTCAGTAGATAGATTAATTTTCCATTTTAGCAACCAATTTAAATGTTTATAAAAGGAATGTTTATAAATGACTTCTCCACAAATTATAAGTATAGATAGAGTGAGCTCTTTCTAAAAATATTTTCTACAGATGTGCAAAATTAATAGGCTCACCTTAAATCTACTCTAGGTCTTCAGAACTGTTAATAGAAATTTTTTCCAAGAATGCAAAAAACAGTTTCTAGAAAAGTGGTATCTGCAGGTTACCTGTGGTCCATGGGGTAGCTGCTATCTGGTATGGACTGCGATGGAGGGAGGTGAGCTGGGAAGGCCCGGTCCGGTTTCGGTGTATGAGTTGAGTTTGGAGATGCATGATGCAGTGGGGACACTGGCGTGCTGGATGGTGTGGGGGGATTGGAGGGCCTCATTCCCACTTGTGGCTTCTGATCATAGGCACTACCCAGGGGACAAAAGAAAAGAGAACATTTCTTTCTTTGGAGCTATTTTTTAAAAAAGTGTCTAATCCAAAGGAAGAAAAGATATTTTAGACTTAAGTCAAATGGAAACGAAAACTTTGTTGTTGCTGTTGTTTTTTAAATCCAGAACAGATAAACTTCAAAAATCACAACACCCTTAAACAGAAAATAGGATAATTAATGCAAAACCTTGTAACAGAACAAATATTAAATGTGTATTTTTAATGCATATACAAACAACTTAGTATAAGGAAAATTACTGTCCAGAAAAGTAGTGGTATTTTTTCCATTTACTCTTGATATACCTATTTAAGAAAGTTTGATAGATCTTTCCTGAATCATTAAATAGTTCTAACACTATATTTTTCTTTTACATTATATAAGATTTTAAAACAATAACTAACATCAGCTTAATAAGGTAGAGACTATACCTGGCTTGCTTTTATTTGTGGTGGGATTTTAAGAAGGCAATGCTTTTACTTTATTTTCATTTTATTATATTAAATAAATGATGCTTGGCTTTAACTTCCTCACATGGAATAATGAAGATTAATGAGGTAAATTAAAATGTCTGATATATTTAAACTTTCTTGGAGAATAAGTACAAAATAATGTTATTAGGAATAAAATCCTATTACAGTCTAACTCCTAAACACTCACAATTACAAAATAATAAAATGAGTAAGCTTGATTTTATATTACGATTTTAAACTGCTTTCCTATGTGTAAATTTCAGGAATGTGATTTAACTAATGTCATCTATAAAATATTTTACTAAAACTAAATTTCCTTAAATTTTTTTTAAAACAGGACATTTCTAAGTTAGAATGATGTATTTCATTTTGCTGGGCACAGTGGCTCATGCCTGTGATCCCAGCACTTTGGGAGGCTGAGGTGGGAGGATCGCTTAAGCACAGAAGTTTAAGGCCAGCCTGAGCAACATGGTGAAACCCCGTCTCTACTTAAAATACAAAAAATTAGCTGGGCGTGGTGACACATGGCTGTAGGCTCAGATATTCACAAGACTGAGGTGAGAGGATCGCTTGAACCCAGGAGGCAGAGGTTGCAGTGAGGCCAGGTCGCACCACTGCACTCCAGCCTGGCTGACCAAGTGAGACCCTGTCTCAAAAAAAAAAATAAGTAAAATAAAATAAAAAGCAATCATCAGTACACTTTTTTTCCTTTAGAAATAAATATTTCTTTTTGAATTAAATTATGTAATAATTTATTCTATTGCTCCATCAATGCAACGGAATTATATCCATCTGCAAAAATCTTTTACAAGGAGTAAAGGAATACATGCTGCACAAGCCCGCTCTTGCTTTAAAGCAAAGTCAACAATGTTCATATAATGAAGTGCATGTTTGGTTACACGTATGTTCTTTACCAGTATTTCTGAAGAAAAACCCACTTCTTTTGTGAAATGGTTAACCTAACTCATTCTCATGAATGAAGAAAAAAAAGAAACTATTCCCCCATGAAATGCTGTACTCAATAATATTTTCTGTATAGAGATGGAAGTACCAGAATTTATTGCATATACCATATATCACTGTAGAGATTATTCATCCCCCAAAAGAAACTCAAAATATTCAGGCAATTCCTTTATTATTGATTTATGGATGTCAGATATGGCATATAAAACAGTGATGATTTCACAATCACAATTCTGATTAATGCTGAGAGGCAATGACAATTCTATATCTAACTGGCATTGACTAGAAATTCCTTAATATGTTAAATAATTACGTTGTGGATACACAGTACTTGTAAGAAGAAAATGCAAAAACAAAACTGAACTATAAAATAAAACTCAGATCGATCAATACTGTCTTATCTGAACTCAGTATGCTTTAATAGTTAGCTTCTACAAGAGACCTTTTTTATAAAACTTTGCAGTTTCAATTGAGCCTGCTCATCATTTCGGGCTCTGGTGAACCTCTTAGAAAAGCAAACATAAAAGACAAGTTTGCAAGAACAAATGGTAATAAAATATCTGAGCATTGGTCAGCTGCCATAATGGCACAAGTCTATGTTTCTTTTTTATTTTTGAGATGGATTATCTCTCTTGTTGCCCAGGCTAGAGTTCAATGGCACGATCTTTGCTCACCACAACCTCCACCTCCCGGGTTCAAGCGATTCTCCTGCCTCAGCCTCTGGAGTAGCTGGGATTACGCCACCATGCCCGGCTAATTTTGTATTTTTAGTAGAGACGGGGCTTTTCCAGGTTGGTCAGGCTGGTCTCGAACTCCCGACCTCAAGTGATCTGCCCAGCTCTGCCTCCCAAAGTGCTGAGATTACAGGCATGAGCCACCACGTATGGCCTATGTTTCTAGACTCTTACATATCTTGGACATAAACAGTGTATGCAATAAATATCTGAGGAAATATTTAATAGAAGACTCCTTTGGGTCATAATGTATGATGAATCTGAATTGATATAACTTACAAAACAGTACGAATATCTGGAATCATTTGTGTAAGTTTCCAAACTCCTTGTAAGAACTAAGTTTCTACTGTAATTGAGAGTGATAATACTCAGTAGAGACAGCCAACTTTTTCTTTATACAATTACAGGCCAATATGAAAAGTAGCATCATGCAATTTACTTTGAAGGGTTTTTAATGAACATATATGTGATAAAATTTTCTAACAAATGAACAATGTACTTTTACTGCACCACCCTTTATTATCATCATCAGAACAACCAGCTTTTTAATAGATAATAGCCTCTGCTAAGTCTTATGAAATTCCAGTTTTATTGCAAATTGTCCATGAACTCATCTTATAGATCATCTGCAAAACCTGACAGATAACTAATGTACTGCTTAGACCTGCCAAATGTTTCATCTTTTTTTTTTTTTTTCTACAAACTCTATCTAAAGTGTATAATGCATTCATTCTAATGGGAACTTTCAAAAGCTGCTTGTGCCAAGTAAAACTCCTTTTTCAAACCCAAGATGCATCCCTACAGTAGAAAAGCAACTAATGATCTGGATAAAAATTATTGCTTTAAAATGAATCCAAAGTGTGTGTTTGGATGGTAAATGGTTCTTTAGAATTCTGCTAAATGCATTACCTAATTAGCTTGTTACATATTAAAGATATAACTCATAAAATATGACTTGAGATTTCATATTATTCTGGACTTTTTGATTCAATAAGAACCACTATCTTATATACAAACACCTGGTGGCTTTACCTGACATTGTACAGGCACTTTTCTCCATAGCTGAATTTAAAGGGCTGTTCTTGACTGCAGGCAGAGCCGATTTCTGAACACGGACTGTGGGGTTCTTTCTTGATTTTCAGGGGTAGGCCATGAAAAGCCACTAGAAAAAAGAACAAAATACCCACAAAAATTAAATGCTGTTAGGAATTATGGAGATTAATGTGTTCTACTTCTCTTGTTGAAAATCATTCACATCTCATATTATATATGTAAGAAAAATCACATTTGATGAATTTCAGTAGCAGAAGATTTCAGAAAATCTTCGTATACTCCTTTTCTGCCTTTATTGTGTAACAAAATGCATGCTTGAATTTTCTCTCATTACTTGAGTCACTTGTAGTTTGCTTAACTGATATTAACAATGCTAGAAGCTCAGTTTCAAGAAAGTACATTTTGAAAACATATCAGAAAGGTTTACAATGACTAAAGCAGAAAAATTACAACTGATTAGCCAAGAATCAACTAAAGACCAAAATACAATTTTAAGCATTATTGAAAGTAAAATATATCAACTGCATCAATAATAATAGTTTAATGAAATGACAACTAGACTAGGACAAAGAAAATCCAGGCACAGGTCCAGAAGTGACTGATATTACTTTGGGCAAAAAGTCAACATCTTTGAGGCCAGTTCTCATCTATAAAATAGAGATTAAGTATCTGCCTATCTAATTAACAGAACTGTGAAGATGAAATCTGAGAAATATGTAAATGTTGTTTGTCACATGTAATCTACCATGAAACAATTATTCTATATGAAATGATGTTTTCACCTTTTTACTGTGACTTAAAGCATATAAATGCTTACATGCATTTATGTTTAATAACATACAAAACTACATCACAAAATATGAAAACTTAAAAAATATGTATATGGGGAGGGAATCACAGTTTTAAATCCAATAATTAAAAAACATGCTATAGGCTGGGCGCTGTGGCTCACATCGGTAATCCCAACACTTTGGGAGGCTAAGGCAAGTGGATCACCTGAGGTCAGGAGTTCAAGACCAACCTGAGCAACATGGTGAAACCCTGTCTGTACAAAAATACAAAAATTAGCCGGGTATGATGGCAGGTGCTTGTAATCCCAGCTACTTGGGAGGCTGAGACAGGAGAATTGCTTGAACCCAGAAGGGGAGGTTGCAGTGAGCCGAGGTCATACCATTGCATTCCAGCCTGGGCAACAGAGTGAGACTCCATCTCAAAAAAAAAAAAAAAAAAAGCTATATATGTTTTATTCTTCAATATGAAACTGAAGAAATGCCTATTAGAAATCTTATCAGAGTAATTAAATTTTTGGTATAAATGGGAAATTGGTTTAAAAAAGGAAAAAATAGTCATAAGAATAGATTTTGTAATTTACGTATAATATCCGCAGGTATGAATAGTCAAGGGATAAATGTAACAGAGACACATGCTGTGGAGATTTATTCTAACTCTTATACAAACTGAAATTAAAACACCGTATGTTAAGTCCGCATTCCAAAAAGAAAGATATGACAAGAGGAATTTTGTGGTTTATGATGTCATTTGTCATTCAATCTAATTATACCATTACAGAATTATAAACTTGCATTAGCTTGAATGGTATATATAATTTTTAATATAAAAATTTGATATCACAAACTACCAAGCTTCAGGAAAACAAATACTATTTGTTTTATATGCATATAATTTTGATACAAGTGTTCAATGGCAATCAAGAGTCATCTGAAATATTCTAGAAAATAAATTTGCCAAATAGGTAAACTTTACTTAAGTGATCTAAGAGAAACTTAACACACAATAATAAAATAATTACCCTAGGTATACAATTTCAAAGCATTTTTTAATGTTGTGTGTGTGTGTGTGTGCATACATGTTTAGTACGCCTATTCAAAGTAAAAAGAAAAACAAAAGAGAAATTTTGTATATCTCCATCTGTCAAGAATACTCATGTGCATTAACTTTACCAAGTCAGAAAGCTCTAATTCTTCTGACAGAAGAGGCTTAAGGACCTCAAGAATCAATTATGAGGACTTGCTCGAATTCTGATTTGAACAAGCCAACTATAAAAAGACAACTCTACAATAAATAAGACATTTTAGTATAGACTAGTTATTAGAGAATTTAATAAATCATTGTTAATTTTGTTGGATGTGATAATGGCACAGTAGCTGTATTTTAAAAGTTTTAATTTTAGAGGTTCATAAAATATTTACAGATAAAATATCCAGAATTTTCTTTAAAATACTCTAGAAAAAATAATTATTTATGAGGAAAGTGATGAATAAGATTAGAAAAATGTTGATAAATGGTAAAAGCCAATTGAAGGGCAGGAGGGAATTAACATTATTCTCTTCACATTTGTCTATGTGTCCTCAATTTCCTGGGTAAACATTTTTTAAATGTGAAACGAAAACCCACGAAGAATTTAAAGTAGTGTTCTAGGCCCAGTACGGTGGGTCACACCTGTAATCCCAGCTCTTTGGGAGGTCAATGTGGGGAGATCACTTGAGTCCAAGAGTTTGAGACCAGCCTTGTCAACATGGTGAAACTCCATCTCCACTAAAAATACAAAAATTAGCCAGGCATGGTGGTGTCCACCTATAATTACAGCTACTCAGGAGGCTGGGGCACGAGAATCACTTGAACCCGTGAGGCAGAGGTTGCCAAGATCGTGCCACTGTACTCCAGCCTAGGTGACAGAGTGAGACTCTGTCTCAAATAAATAAATAAGCAAACAAACAAATAAAGTAGTACTCTATACGAAAATTGTCTCCCAGTGTATATCTGCGTGTTGTGTGTGTGTACATGACATCTTAGAATAACAAATACTAAATGACACACCTTTGTAATACATTAACCATGCATTTCTTTCTTTTTTTTTTTAACAAATGGTTTTCTATTATTTATTACATCTTTGAACATATTTAGCAAAACGTGTATTCCCAAGTTTTGTTTTGCTTTTTAACTTTAATTTTAGGTTCAGGGATACATGTGCAGGTTTATTATATAGGTAAGCTCGTGTCATGGGAGTTTGTTGTACAGATTATTTTATCACCCAGATACTAAGCCTAGGACCCAGTAGTTATTTTTTTCTGATCCTCTTCGTCTTCCCACCCTCCATCCTCAAGTAGCCCCCAGCGTCTGTTCTTCCCCTTTGTGTCCATGTGTTCTCATCATCTAGCTCCTACTTATAAGTGAGAACACGCATACATCCAAGTTTTAGCACTTCAGATTAAGTATTGGGTTTTACATTTTCATAGGAAAAAGCAGTAGCAACATATAAGGAATTCAAGTAACAAATCATATTCTACCTGAGAGATTAGATCAAATTTATATGACTAAAAATTGATGACCTCTATAGCTAATAAATATGCATGCAGTATGATGTAAAGTTTATCATATTTATCAAAATGTCAGCCATATTGGAGACTATAATGTTTAATATTACTATATTTTAAGTCTTGAGTACCATCAAGTAGGAAAATATTTATAAACAGGACACAAAAAGCACTAACCATAAAAGAAAAAATATCAGCAAATTAGGCTTCATTGAAATCAAAAACACTTTTTCAAAAGACACTATTAAAAAAAAAAGGAAAGTAAGTCACAAGCTATAAGATGTTTTAAGTAGAAAGATCTGACAAAGAACTCATATTTAAGAAAATAAGAATTGCAACATATCAGTAAGATAAGACAAATTCCCCATTTAAAAAATTGGCAGAAAGTCTTGAAACAGGCAGGCAGTTCACAAAAGAGGATATCCAGACAGCAAAACAAATGGGAATAACAATAAAATATATGCAAAGGTATTTAAAATCTCTATTCTTCAGAAAACTGCAAAATAATTCACATGAGATTATCACTATATAATTGTATCAGATAGATATAGATATCACCAGAATGACTAACCTGCAAAAGATAGACATTACGAAGTTTTGGTGAAGACAAGCAGCAATGGGAACTTTTACACAAGCTGCTGAGAGTATGGATTAGTATAACAAGCACTTTGGAAAACTTTCTGGCAATATCTACTAGGTCAACAGAAATCTACTCTATGATCCAATAATACACCCTTAGGTATATATCCAAGAAAAAGGAGTGCATATGTTCACCAAAAGACATGTTTGAGAATGTTCAAAGAAGCTTTAATCATGACAGCAAAAACTGGAAAAACTCAAATATTCACCAATGGGCAAATGGATAAATAAATCATGGCATAAGCATACAGTGGAATGAATACTATACAGGAATAAAAAGGGACAAATTACATGCAAAAACACAGATGATCTCACAGGTGCGAAGTTATGGAAATACATCTTGCTAGAAACATTTTATATCTTGCTCTGGGTGGTGGTTATGTGGATATATACACATGTAAAATTCATCAAAATATACACTTCAGATTTTTGCATTATAATGAATGTATATCCATATAAAGTTTAAAAAACTCTGAGGGACATTAATCAAAGCTACACTAATTAAGTTATTTGAACATGTCTGACTTTTTGACGCAGCTGAGACATCTGAAAATGCGCTTCAACTTCACAGGAGAGATTATTCCAGATGGGTAGGGAATGGAGGGTGGGGAGGAATGGCATGTTTTTGGCACCATCATGAATGGCTGCTAGCATAACAACAGCCTTCTATCAAAATATCCCTTAGTACGGACCTAGAAGCAAAAGGCATGATCCATGCTAGTGGAAATGCTATTTGGTGCTCTACTACTTTCAGATTGGCCCAGTGAGTTTCCTGAAGTGACCTCAGAAGAAGGGGCGTGTCTTAATCTGTTTAGGCTGCTGTAACAAAAATACCATAGACTGTATGATTTATAAACAACAGGTATTTATTGCTGACAGCTCCGGAAGCTGGGAAATCCAGCATCAAGTCACCAGCAGATTCAGCGTTTGGTGAAAGCTCACTTCCTGGTTCACAGATAGTCATCTTCTCGTTGCAACTTCACATAGCAGAAATCACAAGTGAGCTCCCTGGGATCTCTTTAGTAAGGGAATAGGGGCACTAATCCCATTGGCTCCATCTTCGTGACCTAATCACTTCCTGAAGTCCTCACCTCCAAATACCATCACACTGGGGAGTCAGTTTCAATATCTGAAT